ATAATAATAAATAAGAATATTATAAAAGATATATTTATAAACGAGACTTATATATAATATAAACTTAAGCCGGGCTTAAGAATAGACTTTTTATAGCTTTTTTAATAATTAACTTAATATTAAATTTTATAATCGCTTTTAGCTATTTTTATTAAAAACTTTTTTTAATAAGATTATAATTAATTATTAAAACCTTATTTATTTTATAATTTATAAATATAGTTTTAAAAAAACTATTTATAATTATAATACTATTTATTTAGTACTCGTAACCTTAACTTTTATTAATATATTTATTATAACTAACTAGTTATAATACTTTAATTATTTTTATTTAATAAGTTTATTTTATAAAAAAAACTAATTAAATAGTATAAATATATTAATTATTAATAATAATAGTACTACGTAGCTTATTAAAGTAGCTATACTTATTATTTAATAATTATATAATATAATATTTAAATTTAAAAATAAAAATAAGTAGTTTTATATTTAGTTTATAGCGCCCCGACCTCCCTTAGTATTTAAAACTAAGTACCCTAAACTAAAACTTTATAATAAGTCCCTAAATACTTTTTAAAGATTTCTTATTTAAACTAAGGCTTATTTATATTACTATAAGACCTCTTTTATTATTAAAATAAATAAAGTTTATTACGTAACTTTATTTTTTTTAAAAAAATACCCTTATTTAGTTCGAACTTTTTATAAAAAACTATTTTAAAAACGAACGTAATATTTAAAATAAAAATACTAAAAAAATCTTTAATAACTATAACGAGTTTAAAAAAAAACTTAAAAAAACTTTTAGTAACTTTAATAAAAAACGAATTACTAAACGAAGGTTTATAACCCTTATATAAAAAGGGTTAATTAATAAGTATATATCTAAATTTAAATAAATTATTTTTAAACTCGATTAAGGTAACGAAGTATTTATAATAGCTTTTTATTATAGCTTAAAAAACGAGGTTAAGGACGACTTTTTTTAATAAAACTAGCCTAATAAATTTTATAATTATATTAATATAATAGTTAAAATTAATAATCGACTCTATAAACGACGCTTTAAATAAAAAGGATAGAACGCTTAAAATAACTAAACTAAATTTAATAATAAATATAAATATAAACTAACGATTATTATAATAGGATATTATAGCGGATTAATAAATCTTAACGTTATTAAAAAAAAATAATTTTAATAAAAAAAGGATTTTAAATACTATAATTACGATAAGCCTAGATATATAGTTAAAAACTATTAATAATTTAAGTATATTTAATACTAACCTGTTTTAAAAAAGCGAGCTAATATTATAAATATAGAAGTCCCCTATAAATAATTTTTATAAATAGCTTATTATAATAATAACTACTTTACTTATTAAAATAATAAGGAATAAATAGGATAATACTTAAAGTAATTTAAAAATAATAGATAATTAAAATATAATATTACTCTATTTTTAGTTAAAACCTTAGTTATAGTAATAAAAAAAAAGGGTACTCGCTTATTAACCTTATATATTTAAAAAAAAAAATATTAAATATATTATTATACTTTTTTAGATTTATAAAAATATAAAAAAGAAGGCTAAAATAAACCCCGTTATAAAAAATATATTTTATTTTTTTAAAAATTAAATTAAATAAAAACTCTTAGTTAATATAAAAAAATAACTTTTTAAATTTAAAAAAAGAGGACCTAATACTAAAAGAATTATAAATAGCTTCGTTTATATAATATAACGAAATTATATAAACTAAAAATAATTTATTAAGTTTAAAAAAGGACTCGATTTAGATAAAATCCTAACTAGGTTTATTTATATAATATAAAAAGTAAATAATAATAAAGAATTTATTTATAAAGTTAAAAAATAGTTCGAAAATCTTTTATATAAAAATAAGATTAAAATAATTAAAAAACCGACTCTTAATTTCGGAATTATAAAAAAAAGAAAAATTAATTTTAACTTTAAAAAAGAAAATATTAAAATAAGACTTAGCTCTTTTTATTTTAATAAAGTAAAATTATTTTATAATTTAAATAAACTTTATAACGTTACTTAATAACGTATTTAAATAGAGATTAATTATAAAATATTATTTAGTATTAACGATATTAATTTTAAAAAGGATAATAAAGAACTATAATATAAATATATTTATTTATTTATAAATAACTAAACTATTTAGTTTTATAGAACTAAGGAATATAAAAAGGTTATAATAACCCCTTATATAAATAAAAACTATTTTTTATTTAACCCTATAGACCCTTTTTATAAAGAATTATTTTAAATAAAGTACTTAAATAATAAGTATTTTTAATATTTTATATATAAATAAAATAGCCGTTTTTATTTATAAAAACGTAATAATAAACTTATTAAGGATATTTATATAAAAAACTAACTACTTAGTTAGATATTATTAAACTTTAATAATAATAATAAAATAATATTCGGTTTAGATCCTAACTTTTTTATAAAATATTTTAATAGTAAATATATAAAATAAGAAAACTATAAATATAACTAATACTAAATTTACTATATTAAAAAAGCTAAAATATAGAGAAAATAATAAGAATTACGTAAGTAAAGTATTTAATAAAAAAAACGTATATTAAAAAACTAAAAAAGCTAATTATAAAAGAATAATAAAAGACGAGAATTAAAAAAAAGTTTTTATATATAACTTAATAACGTAACGACGTATATTTACGAATTAATTTTAATATTTACGGACGAGGACTAAACGTTATTATTAATAATAGTATATAAGAAACTTATATTTTATTAAGAATAGTAAATAAACTTAACTTATTATAAATATAAAAGGATAATTTATATTAATTATTAATAATAAAAGGGGAACGAGTTAATTATAATTATAAGTATATTAATTAAAAAACCGTATATTTCTTAATATATATTAATAATTAGTAAAAGTAATTATAATACGATATTACGGAGATCGGAAATATTAATATTATCTTAAGAATTTCGTAATTATAAAAGTATAACTTATAGATAAATTAAACTATTAGCTAGGTCTTCTAAAAAAATCTAGTTATTAAATAACTTAAAAAAAAAAGGGTTTAAACAGATTTTTAATAATTCTTAAAGAACGAGAATAAATATAATATATAGTTTTTATTAAAATAATAAAAAGCTTTAAGAAGTTTATATATAATATTAATAACTAAGGATTATAATAACTCTAAACTATACTTAAAGAGTACTAAATATATATAAAACTATTTATAAAACCTAAAAAAATAGGATTATTAAAATATAATAATTAAGATATAGAGATCGAACTTAAAAAAAGAACGTAACTTAAGTTCTATTTAATATACTTAATAAACTAAAAAAAATAAGAATATTTTAATAAATATATTAATAAAAAACTTAAAAAAGGATATATTTAACTATTAAATTCTTTTATAAGATTCCCCTTATTTTTTATATTAAAAAAAAGTAAAAGATTAAGACCTATTATTAACTATAAAAGACTTAATAAAATTATAAAAAAGAATTACTATCCCTTATTACTTATTACTAAGCTTAGAAATCTATTTTACGGAGCTAACTAGTTTATTATTATAAATTTTAAAAAAGTATTTAATTAGATTCGAATTAAAAAAGGAGATAAATAAAAAACGGTATTTCGAACTTATAGAGGACTTTTTAAGTACCTTATTATACCCTTTAAACTTATTAACGCTCTAATAACTTTTTAAATAATAATTAACTACGTATTCTAAGAGTACGTTAATATTTTTATTATTATTTATATTAATAATATCCTTATTTTCTCCCCTAATCTCGAAGTATATAAAAATATAAGTTTTATATATAAAAAGTAGATTTCTTAGGATATACTATTATACTAAAATAAATCTATATATAAATATCGAAAATAAAAATAATTAAGGACTAGCCTATATTATAAAACGTTAAGGACGTATAAAGATTCTTAGGATTCGTTAACTTTTACTAACGATTTTTTAAAAACTATATTAATATAATTAAACCTCTTAATAACTTAATATAAAAAGATACTCTATTTATTTAGGACCCTAAGTATAAAAAAGTATTTATTAAAGTTAAGAATATAGTCGTTTTTAAACTAGTTATTATAATCTTAGACTTTTAAAAACTTTTTAAAATTAAGACTAATATTTTAAACTTTATTATAAGAGTAGTTTTAAAATAATAAAATAAGTAAAAGAAAATTTACTTATATTACTTTTATTTTAAAATATTTTATAAAATAAAATAAAATTAATAAATTTATAATAAAGAATTAATAATACTTATTAAAATATTTTAAAAATAGAGATTATAGTTATTTAGAATTAAGTATAAAGTTATAGTTTATATAAACTATAAGAACTTTATAAACTTTATAATAAATAAGAATTTAAATAAATAATAAGTTAGATAGAGCGAATTCTTATTTAAATATAATTTCCGAATTATTTATTAAAAAAGTTTAAAAAATAGTAAAATAAACGCTCTTAATAAAAGACCCGATTATAAAGTCGTAGTCTTTAAAAAGATATAAGTTATTTTTAAATAAAAAAAGGATAATAACTTTATATTAATTACGAAGCTTTTTATAATAATTAGAAAAATTAATACTAGCCTAACTAAAAAAATAACTTCTAAGCTTATTATAAAAATTTATAATATATTAGTATATAATTACTAAAGAATTACTAAAATATAAAAACGAATTCGCTAGTATTATAATAAATCCGCTATACGTACTAAAATTATAAAAATAATTAAGGACTATGTAACTTATAAAAAAATAAAAATAGCTTATATAAACCTTATAATAAGCTATAACTATTATAATTACTTATAAAAATATAATAATTAATTATATAGGACTTTATTATTAAACTATTAAAGGATAGAAAACTATTTATTAAAGTATAGTATAATAGTATTTTAGTTATAGTTAACCGATTTACTAAGTTTATATATTTTATTCTTTATAAAGAATTTAATATAGTAAAAAGCTTAGTATACGTATTTATTAAGGTTATATTTTTAAACTACGGTTTACTAAAAAAAAATTATTTTTAATAGGGATAAGCTATTTACTTTGAAGTTTTAGAAATTACTAATTTCGTAACTTAGTATAAATTATAAATTATTAATATTATTTTATTCGTAAACTAATAGATAAATAAAAAGGATTAACTAGATTTTTAAAATATATTTCTATTATTATATAAACTATAACTAGGATAATTAGATAATATTTCTATTAATAGTTTAGTTTATATATAATAATATAATTAATAAAAGTATAAGAGAATCCCCGTTTTATTTTAATTACGGATTTTAGTTAATAATATATAGAGAAGTATAATAAGGATTATAAGCCGTAAAAACTATAATAGATATAAATAAACTTAAAGAGATTTATAAATAAGTATTAATAAACCTCGAATTTATATAATAATATATAAAAAGAAATGCGGATAGATTAAGGATTAGAAAACTATTTTTAAAAGAGGGGAATAGTACCTATTTCTTTTATTATAATATTAAAATAAAATAACTAAATAATAAATTAGATTATAAAAAACTTAGACCTTTTGAAATTATTAAAAAAGTCTTATTAATTAATTATAAATTAAAATTATTAAATATAATATAATACTATTCCGTTTTCTATATCTTATTACTTAAGCTTATATTAAGAGGTTTATATATAAAAAATTATATTATTATTAAACTAAACTAATTAGAATATAAAGTTAAATAAATTATTAACTATAAAATAAAATATAAAAAAATACTTTATTAAATAGAAAAATTACGGATATAAAAAAAATATATAGGAACCCGTTACGAACTTTTAAAACTCTTAATAACTTCTTAAGGAGTATTAAAATTAAAGTTAAACTTAGAACTCCTAATTATTATAGTAATTTAATTAATAAATTTAAAAATATTATTAGCCTATACTTTACGGGCTACTAAAAAAGTATTTTTAAAATCTTTAAAAAACTCTTTTAATATAATCCGACTCTTTTTAAATACTATTCGCTTTTAAAAACGAAAACGCTTTAACTTAAATAATAATTTATTTAACTTAGCCTAAGCTTATTAATAAGCCTTGCCTTTTTTTTATAACTCCGTAGCTCTTTTTTAAAACTATAACTCTTTCGCTTTTTTTTTATAATTAAAATAGTTTATAAGAAATTAGGCTATAAGTACTTAATTAGCAAGGCTATAATATAAATATAAATATATTATAAGACTAAAGCTTATAAAGTTTTTTATATAAGCTCTACTTTTTAAAAAGTTCTTTTATAATACGATCTATATACTAGTTACTAAGTTATTAGCGTCTTATTACTAATTATATCCCGAATTTATTATAATTACTCCCCCCTTATATAATTTTAACCCTTAAAATTATTACGTAATATCTTCTTTTAATATTAATAATAAAGTTATTAACGTTGTTATTTATAATAAATTCTTTAAAGCGTTAATAATATCTTTTTTTATTTAAGAATAAGGTATTACTTTTGTTTTATTATTTACTAAATATTTTATTATTATTATTTAGTAATAGTACGCTAATTAGTTCTTAAGTTAATAATACGTATTTGTAGTAAAGTATTTTAATTATTATAATATATAAGGGCCTACTTAACCTCGCGGTTATTATTATTACTAAGTTATTAAGTAAAGTAAAAGATTTTTTTTTATTATTAATTACGTATTTATTTATTTTTTTCTTTTTTTTATTTAGTAACCGTTCTGTGAATTCTTTTTTATATAATTATACTTTTCTTTTTATAATATTTTAATTTTATATTATTTTTTAATTATAATTTTTTTACTATATTATTACTAAGTATTTATTAAAATGTTTATTATTTTATATATTTAGGATATATTTAATATAGAGTATAATCTTAAAAAAGGCTTTTATAATTTTTATAATAATACTCCTTATATACGCTACTTAGTTAGTATATATTATAATATTAACGAGCTCGTTTATATTACTAATACTTACGTTACTAAGTATATTATTTATTAAGTTAATAAGAAGAAGTATTTTATTATAAGTTATTAAGTCCTCGCTAATTTATTACTAAAGTATTTAGTTAATAATATTTTTTAAGTTTTTAAAGAGCTATATAGCGCTACTTAGTTTACTTAGAATACCCTTATAGAGTTTTATAATACTAAAGTATAGGGTAACCTTAATTCTTATAAGTATAGCTACGTTCTTTATATTTTTAATTATATTATTAGTATATAAAAAAAAGTTACTACTTATATTACTAACTTATTAATAAGTAATATAAAAAAAAAGATTTACTTTAAGTAAGCTACTTTTTAAGAGCTTATTACTAATTACGAATATTTTAACTTATTAATTTCGATTATAATAAGTTATTAATAATCGTTTAGTAAATATTTCTTTTTACTAACTTAGATTTTTTTTTTTTAAACTAGTATTATTAATATTAATAACTAAGCTAAGATTATTTTTTACCTTAGTTACTTCTAGTTAGTTTATTTTTATAATAATAGCTACGTAACTACTTTACGAAATAGCCTCGACGCTCTAGCTTAGTATTATAAAAAGACTTTTTAGGGCATTATTATTATACGTATTTAAGAGTTTTTTAATTTTTTTATTTTTTATAAGCGTATTACTAAGTACTTAGTAAATAAGGTACTTATTTATATTATTATTATATATAGCGCTACCCCTATTTTTTATAATCCTAAGACTTAGATTTTTATTAAAAAGTATATTCTTATTACTAACTATATTCTTATTACTAACTATATTCTTAGTAATAAAAACGAGCGGGACGACTTTAGGTTTAAATTTAATAAGTCCTAATATAAGAATAATAATTTTAAAAAGCTCTTTAATAATTTAAAAGATTTTCTTTTTTAATATTATAATAAGTATTACTACTTTAATATTAATAACTTATTAACCCTTACTTATACCGCTTTTTTTAATATAAATAAAGGTTTTTTAGTTTTTAATTATATTATTTTAGATTTTAATAAGGTTAGTATTATACTCCTCCCGTTCTAAGTAAAAGCTCTATAATAGTTTAACGTAGTTATTATTATAACTAAGGTCGAAGCTATAGGTCGTAGTTAATAATTTAATATTAATAAGTTCTTTATATAGTAGTTTTTTTCTAGCTTTATAGGCGTAAAAGATCGACCTTAACGGGATTACGCTTTTAAGGGAAATTATATAATACGGTATACTTTTTAATTATATAATATACGCAATATACCCTAAGTATGTGCTTAACGTAATATAGTAATTTTAATACGAAAATTGCTATAAAATTTAGGATAAGTAAGCTACCTTATTACTTATTAACGATAGGCTAAGTAATATACTTACGTAGCGGCGCCGGCTAAAAAGGTTAATAATAGAGGTTAGCTATAATAGTTAGTTATAATAGTTAGCCGTAATAATTAGAGGTAGCTTTCCTTAACCGCAGAGGTTCTAAACTTTAATAATAACGTAGAGGTTTTTAAAAAAAAGGCTAAATAGGCTAATATTTACTACTTTTTAAAGCTCGTAAAGATTCTTTTTATCCTTATTATTTCTAATATTACCTAAAACTACTCTCTATTTAAACTAAATAAATTTACTAAATAAATTTACTAAATAAACTTATTAATATATAAACTACTATTTAGATAGCTAGTTAGATAACTAGTTAAGAAATAAGCTAGTTAAAATACTACCTCGACGAGAACCTATTTTAAAAATACTTATTAATAAATCTACCCCTCTTAAACTAAGCGCCCTTTTTAACTAGCTTAATATTATAGTTATTATAACTAATATAAGTATGCCTAAAGATTAGTAAAATACCTTTTAATAATACGGAATTTGGCTAAGTAATAATACGAATATTATAAATAGCTAAGCTAATACGGACGTTAAGATTTAGTATATTAACGCTAACTTAGAAATTATATTTTATAAAACTAAAAATCCTTTTAATATAGGCTATATTATAAATATAAGGGAATATATAAAGGGCCCCCTAACCCTTAATAAAAAAGAGTATATAATATAAGATCTAGCTATTTATACGGGCTAATACTAAGAGGTTTTATATATATTAAAATAAGTATAGCTCGCCCTCTAAATAGCTAGAAGTAGGGGAAGGTTAGGAATTAATAAAAAGAAGATAACGGTCGAGTTAGTTAACTATTTTAATTAGTAATTAAGTATAGAGCACAATATACCTAGTTTTCCTTAATACGTAATATATAGTACGGCCCTAGCAGATTGCTCTATTGGGGGGAATAAGTTCTTTATAAATATTAATATTACTTAGGTCCTTTAGCTTAACTTAGAGAACGAAAATATTATTTTAAATAACGTCCCCCGTTATTAACTTATTAATAATAATAATAATATTATACCCCCTACTTTACCTCTTATTATACCTCTTATTATAGCTCTTATTATACTTTTTATTATAGCTCTTATCGTACTTCTTATTATAGCTCTTATTATACTTTTTATTATAGCTTTTATTATACTTCTTATTATAGCTCTTAGTAATAACTAAGTAATAAACGCTTTACGAACTGCTATTATTATTATATATAATAACCTATATAACTTCGACCGCTTTTTTCTTACTTATTATAATATTAATAAGGTTAATAGCCTTATTTTAAATAATTAGCTTAGTATATATATAAAGCCTCCCCGCTTTTTATTTACTAAGCGTAGTACTATTACTAACTATTATACTTTAAAAATATATACTAGAGCTACTACTATTATTATTAGTATTACGTAAGTTACTCCCCTTATATAACTAGATTTTAATAATCCCTTAGTAACGTATTACTAAGGGTTATAATATTATATTTTTTTTTCTAAAAGTTATACTAAGCTAAATAAAAAGGGTTTTATAGAGTATTATTAATTAGCTTATTTTTAATAACCTTTTATTACGAACTTAATATTTATTATCCTATTTTATATATATCTTTTTTTTATAATATTTAAATTTTTTAATTATTTTTACTACGCTTTTAAAATG